TTATACTTATAACAGTGGTGTATTTTACCCTATGGGTGAAGGGCATTCTGTTATCACTCTCTGAGCTTTTGCTATATAATTTAATATCTTTTTTGATATATTTTATTTGTAAATTTATGAAATATATATCATCGAAGCCACATATTAGTTATAATTTGTGTAACATGTTCCTTTTCTTTGTTTTTTGTTATGTGTTGGTGCAATAAATAATATATAGCAGAATTATTCGTATTACCACATTAAATTCATCAATTATAGGATTAACAATTGTCTCTTATATGCACTAACACCGTTACATTCCTATCATCATATGGCGAATAAAAAAGGTTGGCGGAGAGTTTATTGCCAGTTCTTCTCTTCCGTTCTACGCTCTTGATTTGAGAACTGGCACTAAATGTAAAGTTAGAAGCATTTCATATACATATCTTTTTTTGACGTTCATAAGTGTACATTGTGTTACCTATATGATTAAATGATTTTGACTTTTGACATCTTGTGCGCGAGCGCAGCAAATACCATATGAGAATCATCATATTAGCACAAAGCGTTTTGATTCATTTATTGAAGTCAATGATAATAACTTTAATTTTTTGTTCATTGTTAAAAATGCGTTAGAACTACACAACAATGGTTTTGAAATTTTCAAGTAATGATGAACCGAGCTGTCTGTTTCTATGAGCACTATGCTCATGGTAGAGCCTGTATAATAACCTGAAGATTATGTCTTCGAATCCCGGCTATACACGGCATATATTGTAAAACGGAAACGTATTAGAAATAATAAGGCACTGCAATCCATTATGGGTTCTGAGTCTGACATTGTATCTTTATTCATATTTTTTTATAGACAAGTACATAAGCCTTCTGCGCCTGTACACACTGTACATGCGCAGAAGGCTTATGTACTGTATTACTGCTGTATGATCACAGTGTTGAGAATAATTAGATATCACTACTCCGTCTATATAAACTTTTAGGGTAATAATAACTACAAACAAAACTAAACAGTAATGTACACAGTATTATCTCTTAAACTTGCGAAACGGAATTTAGAAAAGCGTACAATCATAGGTAATGTACACTTATATAATGTCAACTTAACCTTGTAATACTTGACAGTAAGTTGACGTTACTTGATTTTTACTTTTTTGATAATAGTTTACGTAAGAGGTCTCTTTAAGTGGCTCTAGAAAATAATCTATGGAAACCAATTAGTATTTTATTCTGTTTCATTGCAGGGCTGTGATCAGGAATTTGCAATTTAAACAAAGAAATACTGTTAAAGACTGCACTATCTATAGATTTGTTTGTTGGTAACAGATAAACTCAAATCAGATTGGGTTCAAAATGTCTTTGTTCATTAGTATAGGCTATATTTATTCTCAACACGATTTAAATAAAACATGCCATCCAGCCATGCTATCCTATTACAGGCAGGCAGACATTACTGGTGTTACATATTATTTATTCAAATCTTTTTACTTCGATTTTATTATATTCATGATGACGGTCACAATAGGGTAATTCGTGTCTTATATACGTTGGAAATTTCGTTAAGTGCTCATGATATCGATAAAAACTACTATAAATATTGCTATCGTCCTATTCCTATTTCGCCATTCATGAATCCATGAGACAAGCTTTTAGTTTTAGTTCGTTTTATTAATATTTTTTTTGTATTATTTTAGATTGAGGTTCTAAAATTTTTTTTATAAAATTTGGTTATCCACTTCTTGCACGTTACCCATTATATTTATTTTTTTAGTTTTGTCCCTTACTAGGGTTGCCTGGAAGAAATCGCTTGTTAGCGATAAGGCCGCCCGTTGCATCCCTTCTAATTTTTATGTATTATGCTATTTGTTTTTGTATAAATGTAACGAAGTGAGAATAAATAAATATTTCTCAAACCTTCATTAGCGCATTAAGGTTTCACTATTAGAACAAGACATTCTCCGCAAACTCGATATTTCGTGAACTATTACAGCAAGTGCATGTTGCAATAATTACAATGCTAAATCGATCTACACGCAATGCATGGCTTTACAAGTTCAGTGCAATTTTACGCTAAATAATTATATAAATGTGGCTTTCAACGGAATCATATTTTGAGTACAAGATACCTGCTGAAAATAGTGATCGGTGGTTTAACAGTGAACGCAATAGGTTGGTTAATTTGTGTCTCAGCAAAGAATTGAACCATTTGTTTCGGGCCGGTAGGCATTAATCGCTGAACAGGCATTCCTGTTGTAAGCAGTTGTAAGCGGTTATAAGGTGTTATGTAAGCTCCATCTGCGTGGTTTAAAGATTGATGCAGTGGGTTTGTTATCCAGCGAAAAACTTAGTTGGTACACAATACTTAGCCAATCACGCAATAAAATGTCTAAAACATGCTGGTTATGGGACATTATGAATAGAATTCCATAGATTATAGTGTGTTTCATCTGGCTTTTGCTGTAAGGTACAGAATAAGTTCGTTTATTATTTCTTGACAGCATAAGAGGGTAAACAATTTAAAAAATATAAAAGTTGGCGCTTTAAATGTAGGTCATTATGTTAGGAATTATAAACAAAAATGCAACGTTAAAAAATATATTAATTATTATGTAAAGTTCCGGTACTTATGGTAATTAATCTTAACATTAGGTAATTCATTGTGTCAGGGCCGTGCAAGGTCAGTGTTATATTATAAATGTAATTATTGTGTGATATAACTTTATAAAATTGTTATGAGTTTTGTCTCATTCTATCAAACTGCGTTTACGCTGTAATGAAAAGAGACAATACTTTAGCTAAAACGATTCAATTAGATAGAGTTTTTTGGGTATCAGAAGGCTTATCACCTACTTCTACGAACAGATATCCTTGGAGCAGTGAGATCACTCCATGAAGCCTGCGAAATGCCCAGGAAACTTCTGAGTTAGCTAGACGGGATAAATTAGCCAGGACTAAACGCACAACGGACCAAATTGTCGTCTAAGTGCGGAAACTGAGTCCACACTACATTAACATACTTCTATTATACCTTATGAGACACATAATGACTTCACGAATAGGTATATAAATAATAGTTAGAAAACTAATACAACATAGGTGCCGAAACACGAAAGTATAATTATAATTTATCAAAGTTAAGGGGTGTCTGGCATAAGTGTCTGGTAATGCATGACGAGATTCCTTAAGTTATCCCTAATAAAATATAAAAAATTGAGCTTTATGCTTTAACGAATTTAAGGTACTATTTCATACACCTATACTACCTGTTACCTGCCGAAGTAACCACTACCCAAACTCTATAGTCCCTGGTCGTTCTTACCTGTATAGGGGACACGCACAGAAGAACTTTCAGCTTTTATTAAATGACGAAGGTCTGGCCGTCGTGGGCTCTTAGGATATTTGATCTGTTGCTTTCACGCAAAAGGAAAGCGGTCAGTAATAATGGAAATATGTATTTATTTAAGTTTATTTTATTTAAGGTAAGCCAAAATGTATAAAAAAATAAGTATAACTAAAATTTCCACGAACATATTTGACTAGTAAAACAAAACAAGCATTATAATGTTTTAAATCATTATTTAGTTATTAATTAGAAATTAGAAGTTATACCAGTTTTTTTCTATATTTTGGACGTGTTTCTTTTATTATTTTTGAATGTTATGTTTATGTTAAGAATTAGTCTAGCTTTTCAATGGAGCAACGCTGCCAGTATCTTTGGAACCTGCCCTAAAAGGACTCCTTTTAATAATATATTTAAGTTTTTATATTTTAAGGTTAGTTATTGTTTTAATTGTATTTATAAGCTAGGTTAAATTATTATATTGTGACGTAAAAATATTCTACGAGTTATATTTAGAGAATCTCAAACATGTATTACTTGTCTATTTTAGAATAGATAGATTGTACTATTGTGACTTTAAATTTCATAAATTAGACGTTATAGCATGTTAATAACGCAACAAAGTCGCGACTTAATCTGGCTTAATTAACATTTCTATTAAGCACGAAGATATCAAAGACCATACCACAGACATTCATAGTAATTGTGCCGTCCTACTTACACCACCATTGCGCAAAGTTGTCAAATCACAAATTTGTAATGTATGCGTAATTTACAATGAGTTTTCATCAAAGGTTGCATTACGACATTTTTCTAGTAACATCTGTGTAGCGTAACTCGCATGAAATATAACTCGGTGATTCGATTTCCGCCGAATTGGTGTTGAATGTTGTGATAAACAAAAGTCATCTTGATATTAGAAAATAACCCTTGCCCGTAATTTAGATAAAAGAAAATGTTAAACGATTTAATGTACCCAACATTATTCGCCTTTGGGATGGTTGGATACAATAAAATAGAAACAAGACCGGCCTACTATAAACTTAAAGTATTGAGGGGATGGTGACTTTCTGGTTCCTATTTCACCATGCCTCCTGCTGATAGAGGAGGAGTATTTGTTTTTAATTTATTTTATTATCATTAATTACTTAACGTCATGTTGTCTAAAAAAAAACATGGCGATTAAAAAGAGAGGCGGAGTGTTTATTGCCAGTTCTTCGCCCTTGATTTGAGAACTGGCACTAAATGTAAAGTTAGAAACACTTCATATACATTTCTATTTTGACGTTTATAAGTGTACATTGTGTTACCTATATGATTAAATGATTTTTGACTTTTTGACTTCAAGTACTCGGTTTCTTGGTATCGGTTTGTTGTGAATGCCACGGTGAAGGCCAAGGTTGTTTACAACAACAAGGGCCAGAACCAGTCTGTCGCACAGATCCCCGTTCACATAGACGTTGCGCCTCCTGAATGCTGTCTCCGACATTATCGACATATTACATGGTCGCAGAGTTCACAGCAGCGATGTAGTGTATCCTATGTATACGTATTTAATACATATTATATATTTAATTTTTATCGACATTATCGTATTGGCTTAGTACTGAAAGAATAGTGTGTGTCAATAAATAAAATTTGAGAAATTGTATTTTTTTGCAGGGCCATGTCGTCTGAAGGTTTATCAGCGAATGAGGTGGACTCGCTCCCAGATCGACTTGCGGAAACATTCGCGAATTTGACAGTATTCATCACTGGTGGTACTGGCTTCATGGGGAAGGTGCTTGTCGAGAAATTACTACGGTACGTATTTATAAAGTGTGTGTTGGCCTAGTGGCTTCAGCGTGCGACTCTCACCAGGTGCGATCACCAGGTTCCATCCCCGGCTGTGCACCAATGGACTTTCTATGTGCGCATTTAACATTCGCTCGAACGGTGAATAATCCAGTCGAAATAGACAAAAATAAGTCATAACTTAGCCAAAATTCGCATAGAGCTGAAAATTGGCAGAGACGTTAAATACATCATTATAAATGAAATGTCAAAAATCCCCTTCGATCCTACTTCTGCAAAAAAATTTATTCAAGGTCAAAAGTATAAAATTAAGGTTTTTTCCATTTTTCTCGAAAACAGTTAGTATTATCGTGAAAATAGATCAGACAAAAGTTGTAGATCATACAATTCTCTACAAAAATGGTTCAGTCACTTTTTCTCTTACGACTCACCATTCATGAGATATCGCGGTTTTAATCATTAGAAAATTCATATTTTACATAATATGCACTAAAATGCAGTCTGTATACGTCACCGGACGTTCAATATAAATGAAAATAAGAAACTATTCGTTTGTGTTACTTACACATTAAAACTTGTATAAATTAAATGAGGATTTTAAAATATAAGACTATACTGTCAGTCCCTAATTCCCTTCGTCGGTAACCTTGAGTAACATCTGATGATCTGCTAGCTACGTCATTGTTTGAGTGAGGAGGGTCGCATACCTGCCTATTTTTGAAGGAAGTAAATGAAATGACTCTGAATGAATGATGAGTTAGTTTTGAAAATTCCTGTGCAGTGAGCAGACGTGCTTATTGGTAATATTTTCAATTTTAATTTGTGCTGTTAAATAATTTAAACAAAATGTCAGAAGTTTGTTTTATTTGTGATAAACCTTTGAAAGAAAGTGAAGTCGTTGTTGTTGATCGTGGAATGAAGACTTTGATTGATGCAAGTGTTGAAAGTCTGTGACAGTCCACGTGCAGTGTCGTAAAATGTATACTCGAAAGAGTAGTATTGTTGCAGCTAAAAGACAGCGCGAGACAGAAGAAGGTAGTACATCCACGATAAGTCCACCTCATACTAGAGCACGAGTAAGTGAGCCAGATTTCAACTTTAAAAAATGTTGTTTATTTTGCGGCGATGAAGCAAATGAAGAAGCTGAAAAGAAGAAAGCGCAGAATGTTCGTCGTAAAATTTGTAACGTATCTACACTTGAATTTAAAGATTCCATTTTAAAGGTAGCTCGGACTCGTTCTGATGACGTAGCAAAAGCTGTTATTGCCCGCATTGGGTATGAATTTGACTTAGTTGCTGCTGAAGCTAAGTACCACAATAACTGTTATAATATCTTTCTGAGACCTACCACGGGATATAAAGTCGGTCGTCCCGAAGATGATTCAGTAAACTTGGCGATGGAGGAAATATTTCAGTACATTGAAAATAATGATGATTGCCAATTTTCATTACAAGAATTGAAAGATATCGGCAAAAATCCAACTATAGATAATAAAACAATTAAAAGAAGATTAAAGTTAAAGTATGGTATAAAATTATTATAACTGAGAAGAAAGGAAGCTTAAAAATTATCTGTTTTATTGATAATCAGTACGATATTCTTAATAAAGCTTGGTATGAAAATAAAAAACAAAATACAAACGAAGAACGATTCAGAATATTGAAAGCTGCTGCAGCAATTATTCGAGAGGATATTCAATTCAATATCAATCTGCAAGAAGAAGAGAATGAAGACGAAGAAATAATTGTTGAAGTAGAATTAGACAATTATCTTATATAATGACATGTAGAAAAAAAAACAACCTATTCCACTTTAATCATTAGCAATATTACTATTCTTTCAATTAATAGGATACGATCCGATCAAACTTTCTTTATTACAATAGATCGTGGAGTATACCTACAGGGGAAACCACGTTAAAAAAATGCGCCAAGTACATTACCTCATAGGTGGTGCGGAAAAGTGTGCATATTATGTAGAATATGAATTTTCTAATGATTAAAACCGCGATATCTCATGAATGGTGAGTCGTAAGAGAAATTGTGACTGAACCATTTTTGTAGAGAATTGTATGATCTACAACTTTTGTCTGATCTATTTTCACGATAATACTAACTGTTTTCGAGAAAAATGGAAAAAACCTTAATTGTATACTTTTGACCTTGAATAAATTTTTTTGCAGAAGTAGTATCGAAGGGGATTTTTGACATTTCATTTATAATGATGTATTTAACGTCTCTGCCAATTTTCAGCTCTATGCGAATTTTGGCTAAGTCAAATGACTATTTTGACTGGACTAGAAGGAAAACATCGTGAGGAAACCGGTTTGCCTTAGACTCAAAAAGTCGAAGGCGTGTGTCAGGACTTGGAGGCTCACCTACTTGTCTATTATATTGAAATGATCATGAAACAGATTCAGAAATCTGAGGCCCAGACCTAAAGAGGTTGTAGCGCCACTGATTTTACGTATTTATAAAAAATTATGCGCTAATAACTATACATGTATAAAGTTTCAAAGTCTCAATGTAAGACGCATTTTATATGTCTTTATTTATGTTTTGAAATGACTTAATTTATATCGAAGGAGTCGCATTCAATGCAAACATATTATACATAAAAAGTTATATGTTGCTTTATAAAGTATTAGATAACATAAACATTTAATACTAAGTTATTGAAATCGTTTTAAGACACAAGCAATTTTCCTATTCCTCAAAGTTAACAAATATCTTAGTTAACGACTAAGTAAATATTATCACCAAGCCCAAATATTAATTGTTGTTTATTTTGTGAATCTTTCCAGGAAATGCCCGGATATCCGTAAGATAATTCTTCTCATCCGCCCAAAGAAAGGGAAACCTCCAAAACAGCGTCTTGAAGAACTATTTGCTGATGCTGTAAGTTTAATTATTAATAAGTTAAATCGGAAAGGGACTATCAGGAAGAGTTATACCTATTTCGTATTATCACTATTATTGACCCTATAGAAGGAGTCCCCAGTAAAGGAGTCTTTATTGCACAATTGAAAAACCGAAAATAATATTACATTGCGCAATCTTATTGCTAAATGCTAATAAGCGATCTCTTCTCGACAAAATGATGAAAAATGACAAAGATCTTGTTTTTAGAGATCTTATAAATCCAGATCTATCCGTTCTTCTTGCATATTTCAAAGTAATTAAAAAGTTTTACGCCATCTTGTTTTGTAATAATATCATTAGAAAAACCTCACGATTTCTTAACCGTCTTCGACTTACACTAAAAAGTGTATATAAGTGATCTCTTCCAGACAACAGTCACAAACACGGGAATAACTGACATTTCTCGTACATGTTACATAAAAATACTTTCTTGTGGACCTTCATATGCGCTTATTATATTAAGAACGGACCTTTAATTAAAATTCTTTTATATATTAATCGTGAATAGTTACAATATAAGCCTATATTCACTTAGCCCTAGTCTAGGTACTAATCACGTATGAAGTAACTTTACGACATATCCTTTCGTCACAGCTCTTGGCTATTGCAAACACAAATGTAACCTTATACCCATATTGCACGCTTATTTAATACGTTTCTAAAGAGAATTCTATTATAATAGAGAGTGAGACAAATGTTTTTATCCGTGATTTACTTTTTTTATGTAATAGGCGGCAGGCAGGAGGCTCACCTGATTTAGTGATACCGCCGCCCATAGACACTCACATTGCCAGAAGACTCGCAAGTGCGTTGCCGGCATTTTAAGAATTGGTACTTGTACAAATATACCGAAATTATGGTCTTTAATTTTTACACATTAAATGTCGAATGAGGCACTACGTGATATTGTAGCTTGATGTATAAATTGATGCCAAAATTAAAATCAATATAGCTTGAATAATCATAGGTATTTAGAATAGGTGTCAATACAACTGCTTTTTATCTATTTCACCAATATTTGAATGATCCTAATCCTTGGGATTGATTTGTTCCAGTTCAAACAATTTGTATGACTCAAAACTTAGCGATTAAAAAGAGTGGCGGAAAGTTTCTTGCCGATCTACGCCCTTGACTTGCGAACTGGTAGTAAATGTCAATTTACAATAATTAATTTATCTTCTTTTCTGACGTTCATAAGTGTACTTGTTTACCTATATGATAAAGTTATTTTGAGTTTGAGTTTGACTGTATGCGATATTTTGATAGATGAAGAAAAAGTGGAACAAGTGGATAAGTTCATGTATTTAGGCTGTGTAAGACGACGATGATATAGAAAGACCAGTGAAAGCTGGTAATAGTGTAATGCATTACATTGGAGCGTTGCATTCCTTTATTTCTAAAATCTCAAAACAGGCTCGACTGGCCGTACATAGGGGAGTGATTATCCCGACGTTAACATACGGGATTAAATGTTGGGTGTGGCAGGGGAAGAATGAATGCCGTGGACATGAGAGCATTACGAAGTTTGTGTGGTGTAACATTGCGTAGTATAGGATTATTAACAGTGTGGGTTTGAAGAGTAGGGACAAGGATACGAAAGGGAAGGCTTAGGTGGTTTTGGCCATGTAGAACGGAAGAATGAGGTACGATTAACAAGCAGGATGCACCAGGCAACTGTGGATGGTGAAGTCGGGTTGGGTAGGCGTTGTCGTAGAGACCAGGACCAAATCCAGGAGCTATTAGAGAAGGGACAAGTTAAAAAACTCATAAACGATGAATGCATGGTGAAAGTTGTGGATGGAGTGAGGGAGGTATATAAGGACCGTACCAAGTGAATATACGTGGCCTCTGCCTATCCGTTCGGGAAAAAAGCGTGATAATTTAGATAAATAAATAAAATAATAACAATGAAATTCAATAATTGTATTTACAGGAACACGAGACTTTCGCGAGATTTATATACAAATTCTATAAAAATGATTTCTATGAAGAAGTATATAATCCTTTGTACATATTATTATTCTAGTGTCATAAAGAAATAATGGATTCATTTTTAATGAGATATTGGCTAATGGAGTTCATTGACTAAAATAGTAATAGTAATAGTAGCTTTTATTTCCAAAACTTAACTATAATAGATTAGAACTTTCATTGATTTTGAATTGAAAAATTAACTTTTAACATTACGTAAAATACACTTTAACATTTAGGAATAATCATTTGCTTGTCAGGTTTTGGTTTGTCCACCGTTGGACATAGGCCTCCTCCATCCGTTTCCAATGTTTGAATTTTCTTTATTATTTCAGCTGTGACAGGCCACGATTGGCAGCCGTACAGTAGTGTAGGTGTCACAACAGAGTCCATCACTTTTTTCTTCAGTGGTAAACTCATTTGAGACTTGAAAATGTGCTTGTGTGACCAATATGAACTCCAGGCTTTTTTAATTCTTCTCTCTACCTCCTCTATAAAAGTTCATTGACTATATAGATCTAATCATCAGACTAGCTTCAATTACTTTGTAAAATAGATTAATTGAGTTCTTTGAATAACAAAAAAATCTCTCAGATCCATCCGTTCGTAATTATATTCTGTTTTGTTCGATGTAATGAAAAAGTTCCGCACATGTGTCTAACCATAACCTCATTTGTAACGCTTCGAGATTTCTTAACAAAGAACCTTTGACATACGTTAAAAAGTATTAATTTTTTTAAACTTGTTCTTATCAATAAGAAAATTTTATGTATTACTATACTATGTTCGCCGTAGCATGGTGCGGGTGACAGTTGCTTAATTTTTTTATTCAATTTTATTTTATTTGTAGACTAGAACATCCTGGCTGGGTTAAATTTCAGTTACTACAGTTATTAATGATTTAATTTATTACGAATGTGGTACAGTTGAAATACTAAGTCATAATTTGTAAATAGCGGCAACTTTCAAGAGTGAAACGAAACGTTACTAAAACTGTCACCCGCACCATGCTACAGCGCATAATTATACTATATTTTTGGTTAATATACATGAAGATCCTATGAGGGTTATATTTAAAGTCGAACCCATATAACAAGACGCTGACTATATAACGTCTTATATAACAAAAGGCTTTAACTTAGGTTACAATGTCCCAAAAATAAGCCTCCAAACTCGAGCCAATCTTGCGCTGTCGTATGCCATACGGCCACCTGGAGCTCTAAGATCTTTCCCAGTTAATACAAATTTAGACAATATTTTGAACATCTTCAATGAAATAGTAAAATAGCGGATCCGACAGATGTTGTCCGGTACACACGTCTTACATACAAAAAAATATATTATGTAAATCATTCTAGACTCCACTTGAACACACAAATTTTTGTATTAAAATCGGTCCATCCGTTTAGGAGTTTAGTTACGATCACATGCACAGAAGATTTATATATATATATATATATTTATATATATATATACTAGCTGTTTATTTTCTGTATACACAAAATCCAAGATACCGAGTAAAGAGCCATCTGCGGCTGATTTGTGAATCTAAACCATCCAGGGCACCACCCAAACGCATACAAAGTTTATTGAAATCCGTCCAGCCGTTTTAGAGGAGTTCAGTGACACAGTAGACTTATATATATAAAGATGTTATTATTCACAGCTCTTCGAGAAGGTAAAAAACCTCAAAGGCGGCGTAGAACCTCTGCTCGAGAAAATGGCGCTTGTGTGTGGCGATGTGAGTGAACCAGACCTAGCTATCAGTGAAGAAGACAGGCAGATGCTTATAGATGAAGTGGATATGATAGTGCATGCTGCTGCAACTGTCAGGTATGTCGAAATGGGGCAGATAAAAGTGCCTTTACGAAAATGTAACACTATTTGTCACGTATTGTTTTCTGAGCAAAACTCGGAATAGCGGTATAATATAATATGAATTAGATCCATGACTCGATCTATTTATTTTAATTTATATTATGATTTTTGTTTGATTATAATTTGGGCCTCCTTCGATTCTCACCGCGAGCACGGAAAAAAATCGCAAGGCTGTATTTTATGAAGAGATTCCTAAAGGATCAACACTTAAAATGATTTATATAATACCGACTTATGTAGTTTGTCCAATTTTGCCAAGTTTTAGATTTTTATTTAATATTTATAGGTTTATTAATAAGTAACATTTGTTGTAGATTCGACGAAGAGTTGAAAAAAGCAGTGCTATTGAACGTTCGCGGTACGAAACTTGTGTTGGAGTTGGCGAGACAATGCAAAAACTTAAAAGTAAGTAGTCTGATAAATTGATGGAAAATTGATGCAGATTATGAGAGTGAAAAGTCGGCCAAACATCAAAGTTAATTCTAGTATTAAGTGGAAATACTACTGGAAAATACGCAACCAAAGAGATTCTATGTAAATTTTCCCTAATCTGCTCTGTAATATTAACTTCAAAAACGGAGGATTATCTTTATGCAAGTTATAGGAATTGGATAATATATTATCTGTTTAGCACGCATGTTAATTTTGTAAGTGAATGTGTGATTGTCAACATTTCTTGGAAACAAAAAGTCCTATAGTGATGATTTTATTTAAATCTAAGATTCTACTTAGGAACTGTCCAAGTCCCAAAATAAGTTTATTAGGTTTTGAGATATGACAGGTATATGAAGTAGGTTTAATAATTTTATTTCATTACTAAAAGATAAATAAATCAGCGGCACTACAACTTTTCTAGGATTTCTGTATCTCTATAAATTATTTGTTATCTAATAGGCAAGTAGGTGACCAGCCTCCAGGGGCCTACCATGAACTCTTATTGCGAGCCTATTGAAACCTACAACTGAGATGCATCGCTAATTCGTACCATGACATCGAAAAAACGAGACAGTTTATGTTCCCACGTGACCTTAGCGGTTATCAGATTTCGTTCGTTCAATTTGTATGAAAATACGTACCATGACCGCTCGGCTGAACCGAAATTTGACAGTCGCGCCTTCCAACTATGACAGATAACGATTCTAAAAAAGTTACTTTTGTTCAACTTTTTTGTATCGAAATGTCAAATAATAGTTTAGAACCTATAAAATTCAATATTTGTATTAAAACTTGTTAATAAAGTTAAAATAATAAGATTTATCTACTATGGCTAATATATGAAAAAAATATAATTTTTATATTTACGATATTTTGGGGTATTTTGAGTTTAGAGTGTGATTATAAATAAATTATTAAAATATAGACGGAGATGAGAAACAACGCAATGCCCTTCCGACTACCGACTTCGTAGATATTGAGTTTATAATTACTATAGATTATTGACTTTGATTCATTGAAGATTCAGTGTTCCACAAATAATTGACAGTTCAATATTCAAAATTATTTATGATGTCTAACAAAACATGATCCCCCAATATCATATTTTACAATAAATAAGAATGCCATATTACTAGCAGATATTTATTATAATTAAATTTTTCCTCACTATGTTCATGAATTGTATTATTCTCCTCTGCTTTTTGTTGTTTAAAAAAACATAGGTATTTTAAAATTTATAATGTGTAAATAATAAGCCATTTAAAAATATTATAATAACAGTATTTATTTAGTTATGATGACTCCGTCAAGATAGAAAAAGATGTCTTCAGGCAATGTTCAATTGGATATAAACATTTATTCATATAGACTCTCAATTTAGCGATTTTGTCAGGTTAAGCTGTAAAGAAAATTATTATTATTATTATAGCCTCTTTATTTCTATAATAAATAACATATTAAACAAGTATATCATATGATTAATTATTACATAATATGTGCATGCATTAAAAAATACAATATTATTATTTATAATCTTTAAATTATATTCCAATCATAATTAATAATTTCAATGTATATAAGTTTGAAATGATAAATAAATTAATAAGAATCAAAAACAAAATTAATTTTTATAAATCATTATAAAGTATCATTAAATCATAGGACCCCTCTACGGGTAAAGGCCTCCTCCAGCTCACATCTGTCTGTCTTTTGCTTTGGTGGTCAGTTTTCACAGCTTTTCTTTTTATTTCATCAATCAGTTTACTTTAGTCTACCTCTTAATCTTTTGTTGGTTCTCCCAGGTTACCCTTGGTGTCCATTTTCCTTGTCCATGCCATGCATGTAAGACCCGCCCAATTACATTTTTGTCTAAAGCGTCTATTATTTTTGTTGTTTTCCTAATTTCTGTATTTCTCTTCCGATGTTGTCTTTGTATGTTTAGTAGACTCCTTTCCATCATTCTCTAGCACACCTGTATTTTGTATTTTGGTGTAGTTATTGTAAATCCATGTCTGGAAGACATATGTAAGACAAGGTATTAAATATGAGTCCATAATTTTTTTCTTAAGTTTTAAAATTCTGATTTAAGGGTTTCTTTATTGCGCCAGGATTTATTCCAGTTTATGTTGACTCGTCTTTTAACCTAATCGTCGTGTCTTGTCTTTGAGAAAGATACTTGTTGACCCAGGTAAACATAGTTTTAAACATATTGTAATTACTGTTATTAACTTTATTGGAATAGTTTGGTGGTTCGTCAAATATAATCTTTCATTGATAGAAAAGATTTTGCATGTAAGTGCATAATCGAAGTTTTGTAGTGGAAGGTTGTAGTCATTATCCCCCGCGGTGACCAGCCGTATTGGGAGATGACGAGGGGCTTTCCTGTAAAGAAAGTATAATTATTTATATTATATGAATTAGTTAACGTATAAATTGAGTTTGTACAATTTGAAGGAATAATTTTTTATTATAGTTACTTATGATTTTAGAGTAATAAGTTGATTTGTAATATCTTTTGCAAAGGGTTTTATATCAGTAATTCACTTCGTTATAGGTATTTATTTTTAATAAACAAATTTGTGAAAATACTTACCCCATACCATTATTTTATAAGTTAAACAATTTGTAAATATATTTATAAAACCGAAATTTTGTAAACACCAAAATATTGAAAGCTCCTATCAAAATTTAAAGAAAGTTTAAAAATAATAAGTGTCAACTGTCATAGCACCAGAGAACTTTCCGTTAAAATATTCAAAAGAATAGTTTTATATAAAATAAATATATATATTAAGAATAATAGCTGATTGTGATTGATGAATTATTTAAAATAATTTTATATTTTATTTATTTTCTTAGAAACATCTGTCGAAGTAAGTTTGACAGTTAAATTTCTAAAGTATAGAAAACAAACAAAATATCGTTCTTTCATTCGGTCTTGCGATGTAATACGTTTCAGCTATAGGCGGTCATGGTACGAAAAAATTATTGACTTTAGGTACCTAAACTCCGCTGCATCTCAACTGGATTGTTTTAAGAAAGTTCATGGTAGGCCCCTGTGCCCGACACATGCTGTCGACTTTTTTGGGTCTAAGGCAAGCCGGTTTCCTCACGATGTTTTCCTTCACCGTTCGAGCGAATGTTAAATGCGCACATAGAAAGAAAGCCACAGTGCACAGCCGGGGTTCGAACCTACGACGTCAGGGATGAGAGTTGCACGCTAAAGCCCAACACTGCTGATATTCAATGAATTTTGTTATATTAAATTTAATTACTATGATATCTATATATATAAAAGAAAAATGGTCTTCGTTTGAGGCTCCTTCACGCCTAAACCACTAATCATCGACATAAACTACCACGATCTCAAATTTTCCTAGATGGTTTATGGCTATTTATTTATTAAATTCCAACGTTCCTTCATTTTTATTCTGTTTTACTTTTATGAAAATTTATCCATACGGACTTCACCGCGGAAACATTCGGGAGGCTTCCTAGAACCTCTAAACGTAACATCTTTAAAAACTCATTTTCAAATATTTCAATTTTCTTAGCGGGAAGTTAAAAGAAGAATAATAAAAATATGAAAAAAATAAAATAATGAAACAAAAATTTATTTTAATTCGTCCAGCAAAGCGGGCGCGAAAGGCTAGTACCAAATAAAATAAATAAGACCTTTGTTGGTTAATGGAAGGTTCTAAGTGCGCAATTAATAGTAGCTCATGCGCAGAACATTATAAAGAAGCCAATTCAAGACCCAACAATCGACGTGTGTCAGGCACAGAGTATATAATCAAGGAAACAGAAACACAAATGTTATGCTAACACTTCTTGTAGTGCCATAGGGTTTTAAAATTTTTTCCATAAAACAATATCCAATATTTCAGCTCCATATCCACATATCGACTGCATATTGCCACCTGCATGAGAAATTGCTCGAGGAGCGTCCGTACCCACCACCAGCTGACCCTCATAAGGTCATTGAAGCTGTCCAGTGGATGGATGAGGAGACCATTGCTGCTATAACTCCAAAGTAAGGCTTTATTAAAGTATGTAGATTGATTGTAAGAGAGAGACAGAATGTCCAATTGCTGCGAGAGAGAGAATCAATTTATTATTATTTAAAAATGACGTTAGTCCCCTAGGGACATCATGTGTTTGTGTAATCAAATACACCGTGGTTCATTTATACATGTATAATATATATAATAACAATATAATTAATTGTTATATACATATTATAATATATATATAACAATTTTAATTATTTTTATTGTCACTAAACGTAAAAATAATACTTTAAAACTAAACAAAATTTGTAATTTTATACAATAAAATATTGTTTTATTCATTATAGGTTACTCAGCAAATTGCCGAACTCTTACGCATTCACAAAGGCTTTAGGAGAAGCCTTAGCAGTGGAAGCCATGGAGGATATTCCCCTCATTATACTGAGGCCTTCTATAGGTAATTAAAAGTTTACATACAACCTAATACTATACACATTCACTGCACCATTGCATCTGTCGCTAGTTCGATGTCCGGGACGAACAAATAGAACTAAAACCTTATTGACGAACAATGGGTCTACCATAGTTCGGAAAACAGCGGATTATTAGCGAAATAAAAGAACTATAAATACTAATTTGTAAATCTAGGAATATTTAATAATTCAAAATAATGATCAAATACCAACTACCACTCCACTAGCATTGGTTTAGCTGGAAAATTAATATTTTAACAGAAATTTGTTTACTCACCTCATATAAAATTTCATTTTTGTGTTGTGGAACAATATATTATCATTGATAATTAAGTTGTAAATTTATTCGACGTCGCTGGTAAACAGAAAATCTTTGTATAGTTTGTGTTTAGTCTTTACTATAAACTCCTTTCTATAAACTGTATAAAAATATGTAACAAAATTGCCAAGAAATATTTAAAATTTATGTAAAAACTTACAGTTATCCCGATCTGGCAAGAGCCAGTGCCTGGATGGACTGACAATATAAATGGACCTACCGGACTACTTATCGGTAAGAACTGTTTTGTGTGAGATAGTTTTCTCAATACTCGTAGCGCTGATGTCAGTTATAGCGCGGTACAAAAACTCAATTTTATTACTCTGATAATTTTTCCCTATTGCGCCAAAAGAAGTATATCTTCAAAAATAAGGCCTCAGTAAGAGTAGAATTAGGACACAGTACCGATAATTTATTTTCTTGGTTCAAATAGTTTAATTCTTTTATAGTTTGATTTTAATTTTTATGCTTGTTTGTATTTAAACTGTTTTTTGTATTATTGATTTCTTCTTCCAATTATAGGACGGCACCGTTTGATATTTATTATGTATTCAATTTATATCATGTGTTTGACCTAATTTTGTGGTCCAAAAAAAAAATAATAGAATTAACCAAATTCGTATTTCAGGTGCGGGTAAAGGTGTGATCCGGACAATGTATTGTAAAGGCAACAGCTATGCTGACTATTTGCCAGTTGACGTATTCATCAATGGTATTATGATAATGGCTTGGAACTATTTGTCATATGGGTAAGTGTAGCAATTCCGCATCTATTTTCTAACCATTCAAAAATTAATGAATGATAAAGGTCATTTAATGTAGTTTCGTGAACGATTAATACTTGAGACGGAGCAGTGGTGAGTTTCCATTTGGTTGGTACTTCTTCCTTATTTTGTTTATATTAAAATAATATTTTGGTGGTTCATTGCCATACAGCAACGGCACCTAATCGACGTAGGCAGGCTTTTAAATAGTTGCGCTCCGTCAAACGCCAGCATACTCTTGTCGTAATTGGTACGAATTTTTGGCATGGCAATGTAGCTTGTCCACTTAGTGACCCACTACTAATGTTTTTTTTCTTTTTACTATGACTATGTTGGTGTAGGACTTTATGCAAGAGAAGACAGACAAAATATTCTTACTAATTGTGTTCTATGATTAAAGTGGTATAACTAATGGAATAAAGCTTTTATAATTTTATTTTGCATGGTCGATAGGTTAGCATGCCTAGTTTATGGTATATTTGTATGGTGCTCCCCATCAGTTTACTTTCAGTAATGCCAAGTTCAAGATAGGACAATTTTGTAATTGCTTATACTGGAGGTAATTTAATGTGCCGCGAGTTATGAAACCTAACATTAGTTATGTTACATATATGCATAATATGTTAGTTAATAATTGAAAGCGCAACGAAATGTTTTTTTTTTCCTTTTAAAATCTCAATCAGCCTCAGGCTTTTATCAGATTTATGGGAAATGATGCAATAGGGAACCAAACAATAATTATTGGGCGTGTTTGGCCAAGTAAGTACTTACTAAATTTATAAGTACTTACTATCTTACAAAATTTTCGGCCGGGACACAAAATAAGTGCTAACCAGTAAGTATGGCTTAATATACGACGCCATTTGGTTATTGTTGATGTAAACAAAACGGACAGGAACAGACCTGTCATTGTTCAGATATGTACGGATATGACATAAACCGGTGTTTTGTGTTATGTTAATAAGCATAAGTCTGTCCTCCAAAAGGCTACAGTCAGCTTGTAAGACTTTAATTTTTTTATGCTTACTGGCTTACTAAGTTTATAAGTACACTTCGGCCAAACACCCCATTATTCCTCCGTAATTTGTAAACTGTCAGACTGGGCAAGTTTTCGCCTTTCCAAGAGGCCCGAAGCTAGGGGTTGACGTGTTGCTGAAGTCTCATTTTGTATCGCACGGTTGATCTTTTAATGTCTTCCTCGACAGTGGCAATTCCCAAATATTTATGGACTTCAGTATTTCTTTAACCACAGGCACCGCTCATATTTCCAGTGTTTGTTTTGTAGCCGCTGCAGGATTTCGCTATTAGAGCGGCTTGCTGACCCCCAGAGCTGTATCCCATAGAACCATATTGGTTTTATTACAGTTTTGTAGATGAGAAGTTTATTGTCCAAACTGAGTGCGGCATTTCTACCTAATAGCCAGTTCATGCTACGAAGCCTTCCAATAGAATGCTCCTTCTTGGCTTTTATATGGTCTTGCCAAGTCAGGCGTTTGTCCAGGTGCATGCCCAAATATTTCGTAATGAGAAATGTTAGCAATTATCACACACTTGAAGCCGAAATGAGCCCTTTAGTTTTTTCCCAAACTCATAAATTATAATAAATGTTTGTTTCCGATAATATCCAAAAGGTCGACTACACTTATATAAAAGTGTCACTTAGATTAAAGACCCCTACAAAAGCCAAGTTAGTTTTTTGTTAGCGTCGCAACCACTACCCCTAATTTTATGTTAGTTATAAGCCCATGTTTTAAACAATTGTTTAAAACTGGCGAACAAAGAGTTCCATTTCAACATCCCTCCAACAACCGCAACCGCCACTTACCTAACTCGCGTTATTGATAAATTTTACTTTATTATTATATAAAAGATATTTTCCAATTACATTCGCATCAAACTAAGCGTTTATATTGATCACCAGAAATTAATATATAGCTAACTAGCTCACATCTTGTTACAGTGATAAAAAGTCGAATGTGATAAATTTCACGTCGTCAGCGGAGATCAAGGTGACATGGACAGAGATGATTGACGCTGGACGAGATATCATCATGAACAGAGTGCCGCTTAATGGTGTGGTTTGGTGAGTCTTTTATAAGATATTCTAATAATAATCCTCATAGATAACATCACAGAACAGATAGAACTAAAAGAAGACAAACATTGGTAAAAAGGTTTTAGTTGTTATAAGTTATAAATAAAAAAAATAATAGCAATTGAAAGTAATTCATAAATAACGATTACTGTAAAACTAAAACTGTACAATTTACGAAACTTTGCGTTAAATCAAATAGACGCAATCATGTTATTGAAATAAGTTATAACCATTTAAAGGCCGGCAACGCACCAATAACAAACGTCTCTGGTAGCTGTCTTTGGCTTTCCTGTTGGTTCGTTTGCCCCCCATTAAAAAAAATTAAGTGTCATGTCAATGCGTATTGGACTGGAGTTTTTGTTGACTGAAGTCGAACGAAGCCCACAATCGACTTTCTTCTGATATTCTTTATCCATAATACTGTCTACCAGGCGTGGCGGCGCCTTTGTCCATGTTAATTCCTATGGCTTTTAGGTATCCTGGTGGTTCAATGAAGCACTCCCGCCTATACCATAACATCTGCGCGTTCTTCTTCCACTGGCTGCCCGCGCTACTCGTCGACACCCTACTCTTTTGTCTCGGATACAAACCAGTGTAAGTACATTTAAATTGCGTTAATATATGGAATTTTAACTGATTTTTAGTACAAGTTTCAAGAAGTTACAGAAAAGAATGCAGGTTGATGGCCCTAATTGGTTTTATTACATAAATTTTTACTTTGAAATCATAGTTTAAAAGATCCCAAATTGGTCAAATTCACTTCAACTGAAGCGTGAAGGCATGAACGCGTGCGTATGTAATACGAAACATTTCACGGAAAATTGATTATTTCTAGAATTATTTAACCATATTAATTGATTATGTACGAGTAATAACTAATTGAGCAGTGTTGGCCTAGTGGCATGAGCGTGCGACTTTCATCTCTGAGGCCGTGGGGGGTCACCGGCTGTGCACCAATGAACTTTCTTTCTATGTGCGCATTTAACATTCGCTCGAACGGTGAAGGAAAACATCTTGAGGAAACCGACATGTCTTAGACCCAAAAAAAGTCGACGGCGTGTGTCAGGCACTGGAGGCCGTTCAACTACTTTGCCTATTAGATTTAAAAATTATGGTGATACAGATTCAGAAATCTGAGGCCCAGATCTAAAATACATATAACCCCCTTACTCTCACCCCTCTACGATCAATCCCTATTTTTTTATTACTGTAGATAGTTATTTTTATTGAACTAAAATTTTTTTTCCTACAAATAATATACATGGCAAAACAAACGTTTGCCGGGTTAGCTAGTGTATATATATATATTTATAATAGCCGTGGATTTTTTTAACTTTATAACATTTCAGATTAATGCGTGTACACAAGCGCATAAGTAAAGGTTTTGACGTTTTCGAGTATTATACAAACAACCAATGGGATTTCAAATCTGACATCGCTCAGACTGTGCGACAGAGACTCAACATAAGAGAGAGACGGGACTATAAGGTGGACGCTGTTGGTGAGACACTTTGTTTTTTAAATTAGATTTGTATTGAATAGGCCATGTACGACCGAATAGAACAAGGCGAATCTAGTATAATACAATCATAAATGCCATCAAAAATATAACTTAAAAAAGACCTCGCAACTCAGTTCTTCTAGCGAAGAAAGTTGTGAGATCCAATGTATTAATACCAATTTATTCGGTCCCTACTTAAGAGACCTTCTTTCTTAAGTTATTACGTAATTAGCTAACCTAACAACTTCAGTAGCCCAGTTCTTATATGTTTAAATAAATACCATCACTTGGTTACCATGAAAACAATGTATCTCACAAGAACACATGAAATTAAATTAGATTGTTTAGTGCGATTTCCAACTCAATGTATTTATTAAAAACTAGTAGACTCGGCCAAGCGTTGCTGTGGCTAAGATTTTTGTTATATTACATAGTAGTAAACTATTCAAGAGAAACGGCAGGAGAACACCAATCAAGATAGACACATGCTGTCGCGACATTTTTTATAGATAGTGTCCTGAAAAATTGTAATGCATCATTTTCTTCTATCATTAATAGTTTTCACAGCGCACGCGATTGAAGGAAGTTTTTTGTTTATTTTTTTACATCTTGGGTTAGATTATTCAAGTTTTAGTATGCATCCCTAATTTTTTTGAAAATGAAACATAGCCTATGTCACTCGGGAATAGTGTAGCTTGCCAACGGTGAAAGAATTTTTGAAATCGGTCCAGTAGTTTCGGAGCCTATTCATTTCAAACAAACAAAAAATCAAATCTTTCCTCTTTATAATATTAGTATAGACATAAGAGAAGATAATTTATATATATATATATATATATTGTATTATGATTATGGTCAGTATAAAATGTTGTTAGGTTTGATAATTACGTAATAGCTTAAAACAGAAGCAGGGACTGAAATTCAGGCTTCTAATTTTATCCACAACAATTTATGGAGGAGTCGAAAATAGCCTGAATTGCTTCGAGAAATGGAAAGTGCCGTGCCGCTTTTTCGTTCGAAATATTTCGATTTTAATTATTTTAAATTTGTTAAATTTAAGTCCTTTGTAAGCAAAAGAAACTTCTTTACTGCGAGAAGCAAGGAAATGTGTACATATTTCTGCGTCTTGATTTAATTGCTAATAATTTTTTTAGGTCTGGACATTCCAAACTATTTTGAAGACTGCATCAGAGCTGCTCGTGTGTTTATATTGAAAGAATATGACGATACACTACCCGCAGCAAGGCGACACATGACAATGTATGTATTGTAAGCGTCCCTAATTACGGACAGTTATTATTACAGTTGAATCCGTTTATAATGACATCGAAAGGAATTGACAAACACGTCATAATAAGCGGACGTGGTACAAAGCGTTTTGTGTGAAAGAAATCATTGAGATTGTCGAATGACCCACGCCAAATTCCTTTCCTTTGCAGATTAGAAAATGGGGTTTGATTCCCCATTTTCTAATCTGCATATTAATGCACCTTTCTCCACAATCGTAAATGCTTTACGGCCGCGGCGTTGAGATGACATTTATTACCCGACGACTCAGTTTAAAATGCGTTGACTGCAGTGGCGTAACAATAGGGTGGCAGGGCTGGCAAAATGCCACGTGTCCCCGACCCAAGAGGGTCCCTGCCCAAGAGATATGATGTTCAAAGGATAAATGTGGTCTCCAATACGCATTGGGCTAGCGTGGGGACTACAGACCATTCCCTCTCGCCTAAGAGAGGAGGCATATGGCCATTAGTGGGACATCGTACTGTACCTTACTACCGTATGTATGTATGTATATCCAATACATTTTTGACGTACGGGCTAAGTCTTGTGTCTTGTAACTTAGCCATAGTCTTAGTGAATTAAGGACAGTGTATAAACTACTAAAATTACTACTACGCTTCTGTCTTTAGCTTTGTTCTTAAAAATAAAGGATTTCCTAAGTTTTATAGTGCATACTTCATGTGTCAAAACACAAAATTTAAAGATAATAAGAGTTTATTAAGAAACACACACATTAAGTTTTAAGTGTATCCTAAACTCCGCTTAATAAAGAAATTGAATAAAAATATAATTGACGATTAAATATCGATTAAGATTATTAATATATCTTTTCAGTATGTGGTGCGTAGATATCATAGTGAGGTGTCTATTTTGGGGTCTGATGCTGTACTGGCTTAGCACCTGGATTTCTTCTGTCTTCTCATATGGAACCAGTGAGGTCACACCCACGTTTATAGAATAGGTTTCGTCTTAGGATCTTTAAATGTTAAATATTTGTATAATGCAAAATAAATGTATAAATGTAAAACTAAGTTTTTTATGGTGAATTAGAGAGGTATAAATTACTGTGTTATTAATGTATAGTTTTCTTAAAATGTCTTCAAAAAACTCTAAACTCAAATTGTGCCTTTAACTATTAGGCTTAAGCTTTAATTTTTTTTTTAATTTTGTATAAAATATAAAAAATTCTCTTAAATATGTTTTTCATTAATCATCTTAATATACATATTGAATTGACAAAAACGATAATAAATTGCGTAAAACCTTTATTCATAAAAACTTAAAATTAAAAAAACATTTTTTTAAATAAATATTTACAAGTAAAACCCATTTATACCTTAATAAAATAGTTTATTTTAAAATGGTTAATATGACGGTATAACCGGGTGACCGAGCGACATAAAAAGCTAAGTATTTATCTAAATCATTCGCTACCAGCCAAAAAATCATAACAAGTTGGTACTCTTTAAAAAAATATGGTAAATTTCTATCAGGTACTGGTAGGCAACCAGATGTCCTTTTAAAACTGCCAAATTACAGTAAGCAATGCAGATGACGCAGAGATGTAGTCACTACAGTAAACAGCTGATTGGTCAGATATGAGTTCGTGACCTTTAAGAGGTGAATGACCTCAACTTTAATTAAAGCACACATTGCCTATTGTTTTTATAAAATAAATATTGATATGTTTTATCAAAATTATATTGTTTTGAATGCGAGGCTGAGATTTCTAAGATTTTTTTTCTAGAAAATTAAAATAAAATATATACTATATGTATATATTTATTAACAAACATAACGTTAGTCTGGAATCGAATTTTGATTTACGATAAAACAGCCCTCAAAGAAGAGTCTACGTAGGAGATAAGAGATGTGAACAGGTCCGAGTAAGAGTAAAGAAGATAGCAGAATAATCCCACGAAGAGGAGTTTCGTTATGACGTCCACCACGTAGCGGCTGCAATAAAGGAAGTTGTATTATTTATATTAAAATTACCTTTTAGAGTCATATTTTCAGTTATTGTATGATATATATTATACTAAAGATATATAATCTTCCTTTTAGGGCCTACTAGCTGGGTGCCCGCGACTTCGTCTGCCCAGGATTAAAATAATATTTGTCCAAATGTGTAGCGTGAAAGACATATTTTATCTACTTTAAATACTACCAGAAGCGATTAAAGTTTAATTTTCATTGAGGAATCAATTTATTACTACCAATTTTTATTGTAGTTATGGTTCACTATTATGGCTATGATGGTTTACACATAAGACAGATATATATTGTGGTGGGCTTTTTTATAGGACCATTTAAGATAAACATTATCATCATACATTAGATGTGTCACTCTATCGGTTTTTTCCTACTTACTTGATATTTTGGACAATTCACATAATATCTTCATGAATTGTAGCCTATGCGTCATTCTGATGTATATGCTATATTATAGTAGTGTAGTTTCATTAAAATCCATTCAGTAGTTTGTTTTTTGAGTAACAAACATCCATCCATACTTACAAAGATTCGCGTTTATGATACTAGTAGGATTACTAAATTATATGGTCGGGAGCTTTAGCTAATCTAGACGAATAATGTTTGTCCATGTAAACTCTTAATATGTAGGCCATGATGGACAATTTTATCTACGTACGTTTTGTCGTCAAAGAGAAAAATTTTGTTTTGAAGAGAATATGTTGTTGTTCTGGTTGCTCGTTTATAAACTTTCTTTGAGATATTATTATGTTGTGCCATCAGATTAATGTTATTTCTCGATTTCGTTGATCATTGAAAAAAACATATATAACACAAGCAGACCGGCCAAGCGTTGCTGTGGCTAAGGTTTTAGTTATATTACATAGTAGCAAACTATTCAAGGGAAACGATAGGAGAACATCAGTCATGGGGACCACCATGCTTTTTTGGTGGCTATGCCATTAAATTGTAGCTTATGTGAAACGTTGGTACTTTCAACACATCGCTATCTGTTAGAATTGTGACTATCAAATAATAAATAAATATTTTGCAATAAAATAATATTGCGGGTTTAAATTGAGATGTAAGCTATCCTTTCTTTTAAGTTAGATCAAACTGCACACGGTGTGCAAATTTGAATGAAATCGGTTCGGTAGTTTAGGAGTCCAAACAACGTGACACGTAATTTATATATATTAAGATTTCTAAAACAACTTGAAAATAAATCTTAGATCGTAAATGTATACTTACATAGTATGCAACTTTCTAGCTCTTGGCAGACTGCTTGGATCCTCTTTGCACACAAAATGCCTAGCTCCAAGCACGTAGTCTTTTAAATACTCCTGCGGGTCCAATTTACTGACATCTATATAGAAGAGCTCTCTCTCTTCCTCACTCACACGGTTCATGAGCGAGAGGAAACGAGTATTTTTGAAGCACCACTGCTTCGTTGTGTAGTATTGAAGAACGCCGAGGCCGTGGCCTATACGCTTTTGAACGTTTACCATACTAAAAATATAACACAAAGCATAATTAAGAAATAGGTAACCTTAAAACGCGAAGTAGAGAAATTTAGTATTTTTAGTGTAAGGACGTATTTAACCTAAGAAGTTATAACAAAAAATATTAAAAAGAAAATCAAAACTAAAAGTTTAGTCCCTGTGGCACTACGTTTAACGCTGGCAGCATTTCCTCGCTGTATTGCGATACTTATTCGTTGAGCGAGGAAAGCACCAGCTCTGGGGTCACCGGTACTATCTACCAGGCGCCAACTTAAATCTTTAATAAGCGCCTGTGCACTTGAACCCCACGGGCCCAAGAGTCTCTACTCCAAAGGGAACAAAATCGAAGTTGGAGGAAATACTCTTATATTTGTGCCGAACGTATATATTTCTTAGAACGGTTTAAGTGTTTATACATGTTGTGTTAAAGTATTAAATTCTTCTAGCTTATTACACATGGAAACTTGGTCAGCGACGAACTTGAAGCATCATATTTGAAATTAATTTTGTTTTTAAGTATTATAATATTATTGAATGCTTGGATGAACGGAGAAATTGTGACCAATTTATGTTTCACTGTCACATTTCTGTATTTTTGTAAATTGTATTTTTATTTTATTTAGCTTCTTATTCCTGTCATCAGTATAAAACTTACAAAGTTTTCTTTCCAAGTAAAAAGAGAAGTCCATCACATATGTACGCGGGTAGGATGTGGAAAAAGATGACGGCCAATTGATGGGTGAACCAATACGACTTGATAGTACCACCAGGGTACCACAAAGCTATGAGGAATGGGTACATGTTTACCCACTTTTCGCCTGGAAAAAATGAGCAGTTTCGTTTTTATCACACTTACAAATAAATAAATTTTCTTACAATACCAGTTCGAATACTATAGTGTCATCGTATATATAGTTATATATACATGGACTGCAGTGTTGGCCTAGTGGTTTCTGTCATTTCAGGAGGTCGTAGGTTCGATTACCGGCTGTGAACCAGTGAACTTTCTGTCTATGAGCATTTCATTTAAGAGTTGTTCTTAAGCGGGCCATGGACCGCAGTCAAGACCAACATGCGGTTTGCTCAGGAACTGCTCGAGTGGTCCGTGTATTGCGAATATGAATTTAGCATGGAAACTGCAGATCGCCGTGCGGCGACCGGCAGTCGGTATCGGCTGCAACATGCGGTCCGTCTATGGCTCGCTTTACGGTGAATGAAAATATCGTAAGGAAACCGGTATACCATAGACGCAAACACATGGTGCGTGTCAGGCACAGACGATTGATTACCTTCTATTAGAAACGATCACGAAACAGATACATAAATCTGAGTCCTAGACCTAAAAAGTAGCAATATTATGACGGTTTCACTTCGATAGATTACAATCTACCGAATAATAATACGTTAAATTGTAAGCAGTGCGTTGAGGTTCACAATCTTATGACAGTTCACAATCTCGCGAGATAGATTACAATCTAACGGTATTTATAATTTTAAGGTGACATATATATATACATAGATTGAACGCTGAAAACTGAGTATAAGTTTAAATTCTTTACTGATCTAGTCCACTGGCTGTAAACTGTAAGTTCAAAGCCATACATTAATACTACGTAAACTTTTTGATAATTATAGCAATACATTTGTATTGTTTGTGCTAAAAAAATTAACATTTCGCACTCGTTTATTTTTGCTAACACCAATTTTAATTAGGTTTTGCAGTTTTTTCCTCTATCAAAACCTCCATCACAATATTTAACTTACCAGTCTCAATCACCTCTTTCCATGTCATTTTTTGAACATCTGACAACGTGATATTGAAGAATTGGGCCTCCTTTGCTCTATAAATAAATAGATAATGTAGCTGCCTTCGTGACGCTCATGGTAAGTCAAAACTTTATTAAAACAATTTTAATATGGCACTTTTGAATAATTTCTAAATTGATAACGATCCTTCATTAAACGATACTAAAAAAATTGTTATTTTATAAAATTAAAACAATAATTAACTTACTTATAAAGACTCAACTTTGCTTATAAATTAATTAGACATAATAATCCATTTATTAAACGACTTCATATTGTTGTATACAAATATTAACAAAATACAAAATTTAAGGAATCCCGCAAATTAAAAAAAAAACTGAGCTATGTATTGTTTTAACAAAGTTCTTTCATCGTTCTGTCAAATGGTGTGATATAAATAGGATACATTAAACTAATTTATGAATAAGGAATTTGACAGCTATAGATAATGAACATACTAACTTGTCAAGCGCAGTGGCATATGCAATAAGTATACAGCCGTTTGCGACCACGTCGACTGGTATAGCATCGGCGGTGTATGACGGTTCGCAGTGCATAGTACGAATTACACCTGAAATAAAGACATAGATACACACTCACTTCAATAGATATTTGAAATGCAGAACGTAGACAGAATAAATCGAAATATTTACGAAATATGAATAGGCCTCGGGACTTTTAA